TGTTTTAGAGAAGAAAGCAAGAAAAAAAAATCAAAAATGTTTTGATCCACATCGCTAAGTTTTGACTTTTGCTTTAATTTGTTTGGAGATGATTCATTTACTCCGTCTGTTACTGGTGACTCTTATTTTTCAGATACAGTTTTACTAAAAATCTAAATGAAAGGATGACTTTTTTTTTTTTTTACATGTTGAAGATATAAGTGACATCACCAGAACTCATGAAAGCTGATTTAAAATACAGATTTTTTTAGCCAAATGAGAAATTAGCACATTAACAAACCAACTTTATTGCTTTTGTTATAAACTTCATTGAGAATTAATTTTATTGTAACAAAACCTCTTATTTAGTGTTGCACACATTTTTCCCTCTAATTTTCATAATGTTGCCGAGGGTTTGGTTTGTGCTGCTCCATCTTCCAGCTTTGAGACGCTGTGATCGGGTTTGAACTTCAGCAGAACCGCCAGTTTATTCTCGTTCCTCCAACATGGCCTCGTTGCCCAGACCGAATCCTTTTGGGCCGAAGTTCTTGGCATAGCAAACTGAAAAGAAAAATGTATATCAATGTCTCTGTTTCATAGAATACAGTTTATACATTTTCTTTTGTATCAAAGGTTTAACTTTCCATGTTTTTTTCTTGAAAATTTTTACATTCATCTCTAAATTTTTGGTGTAAATTTACAAAAAAAAAATTTTGTTTGCCTATTTACCCGTCTAATACCAGAATATTACAATGTTCAATGATTTCACTGACCTCCGACCCAGAATCGCTCAGCGTTCTGGGAGATGTAGGCAAAGGAAAGACATTAGCCGCTCAATCTTTCGCAGCTAGTTCAGTGAAAACTGAATAAAACAGTAACGGTTACACAACGAGCTTGGTCACATTTCAAATATTTAAAACAATAATAAATCAATAATTATTGATATCGACTGATATGAAACGCTTATATCGTAATAATATTTTCAGCCATGTTTGTGTTCACACAAATGCAGTTGGGTTAGTAGTAGAGTAAAGCTTTATTTGACTTTCCACCAACATGGGACTGGATATAAATCAGTCTTAAAGGGAGAATCATATTTCTCCAAAGAGTGTGTAGAGTTTTAGACTCTTTGTAAATAAATGGCTTCACCTTTACAGTACAGCTCTCCGTCCTTATCCGTCACTGTGGTCGACTCCAGGCTTTTACCACACAGAGCGCAGCGGAAACAGGTTTTATGCCAGGCCTGGAAACACAATATAAATGTTTATTATTTTGGAAAAAATAAATATTAGCTTGATATAGGCCTGTCACGATAACAGATTTTGCTGAGCGATTAATTGTCTCAAAAATTATTGAGATAAATAATATTGTTTGGAGACCTTTTTACACTGATTTAACGGAAATTACATAATAATACATGTGATTTCCTGCCAAAGATAGATACACTTTATTTTAAAAAAAACACTTAATGCTGGAACTGAAAAACAAAAACAAAATGGATTCTCAGTCTCCATTTACAAAAATTACTTGAATAAAAACTATATATATATATGGTAAATGGACTGAACTTATATAGCGCTTTTCCAGTCATTTTGACCACTCAAAGCGCTTTACACTAGAGTCACATTCACCCATTCACACACCGATATGCAGACCGGTAGGCGATTTTGGGTTAAGTGCCAGAGGCACTTCGACATATGGCAGGAGAAAGCTGGAATCGAACCTACAACCTTCCGATTGCAAGACGGCAACTCTGCCACACAACCACAGTCGCCCACTTTCAACTACTTAATTATAAAACCCTAGAAGAAATTATAAATCAATTAAGTTCAAGCTCCTGCTGTCTGGATGTCCTTCCCACACATTTCTTTAAGAAAGTCCTGCCTGTTATTGCTGCTGATCTGATCCAAATCGTAAACTCATCGCTTACATCAGGTGTTTTCCCCCAGGCTTTGAAAACAGCAGTCATCAAACCACCGTTAAAAAAGAACAACCTGGACAAATCACTATTGCAGAATTACAGGCCAATCTCAAACCTCACATTCATCAGCAAAGTTATTGAAAAAACTGTGTGTAAACAATTAAATAGTTTCCTCATGATGACCAACTGCTTTGACACTTTCCAGTCTGGTTTTCGTGCTCACCACAGCACGGAGACTGCCCTCGTAAAAGTATTCAATGATATCCATATAAATATGGACTGTGGGAGAACCACGGTGCTGGTTCTGTTGGACCTCAGTGCAGCTTCTGACACTGTGGACCATGACATATTACTGAATCGACTGGAGAGTTGGGTTGGACTCTCCGGTTCGGTCCTCGACTGGTTTGAATCTTACATAAAGAACAGGGATTTCTTTGTTTCAATTGAAAACTTCTTATCAAAGAGGTCAAAGGTCACATATGGGGTACCCCAAGGTTCAATCTTAGGACCCCTCTTATTTAATATTTATATTCTCCCACTAGCTCAGGTCATAACAGGAAATAATATTAGCTACCACAACTATGCGGATGACACACAGCTCTACATTACGATGTCACCAGGTGACTCTGAACCCATCCAATCACTGAATAAATGCTTAGAACAGATAAATGTGTGGATGTGCCAAAACTTTCTCCAACTGAACAAAAATAAAACTGAAGTCATTATTTTTGGACCTAAAGAGGAACGATCTAGAGTCAATGCACAGCTTCAGTTATTACAACTAAAACCTAGCGATCAGGCCCGAAACCTGGGAGTAGTGATGGACTCGGACTTGAACCTCCAGAGCCACATAAAGACAGTAACAAAATCGGCCTTCTATCACCTGAAGAACATCTCCAGGATTAGAGGACTAATGTCTCAGCCAGATCTAGAGAAACTCATTCATGCGTTTGTCTTTAGTCACATTGATTATTGTAACAGCGTCTTCACAGGCCTGTCCAACAAATCAATCAGACAGCTGCAACTGATCCAGAATGCTGCTGCTCGCGTTCTCACTAAAACCAGGAAGATAGAGCACATAACACCAGTTTTAAAGTCCCTCCACTGGCTCCCTGTAGCTCAAAGAATAGATTTTAAAATACTGTTGTTAGTTTATAAATCACTGAACGGTTTAGCACCACAATACATCAAAGATCTGCTGTTGTTGTATCAACCTTCCAGACCTCTCAGGTCTTCTGGTTCTGGTCTGCTCTGCATCCCCAGAACCAGAACCAAGAGAGGAGAAGCAGCTTTCAGCATCTATGCACCAAATTTTTGGAACAAACTTCCAGACAACTGTAAAACAGTGGAAACCCTGACTTCTTTTAAATCGCAACTAAAAACACACCTGTTTAGAGTTTCATTTGAAATGTAATATGTAACAATGTATTGTCTATTATATGTTGCATGACTTTGTGTTCTTGTGTTTATGTTGTAAAGCACTTTGAAATGCCTTGCTGAAATGTGCTATACAAATAAAATTTGATTGATTGATTGATTCTCCGCTTCCTATTGGACGAACGCGTACCACGTGGTTACATGTTATCCCGGATATTTTCCTTTAGTTGACTGATTTAGTTTAATTTCCCGCAACATACAAAGATTAAAACCGCCGGATCTTCATGAAATAAACACGCCACGGTCCACGCTTCGTTTGCAGGTTTAAAATAATGTTAAAGTTTGTGAACCGTGAGTCAAGCTTAGTGTCCCCGGAAAGGCTTCGCGTCCTCCCCGGCTCTTAGGCATCGCTTCTCGGCCTTTTGGCTCAGATCAAGTGTAGTTTCTGTTCTTATCAGTTTAATATCTGATAGTCCCCTATATGAGGACGTTGTATTAAATTGATTTTTGGGACAGGGAGATGGACTAGGGGCTTGCTCTGTCCTCTCCAAGCATCAACCTGGTATTGCAGTATATCCGGGGATGGTGCACTTACTCCGTTCTGTTATATGGTAATATTGAAACTCTGCTGGACTGGAGGTGACAAGCTGAGCTTTCAGTATAGTTTAACCAGCTGAAAGGATATATAGACACCCTGCAAGTTGTTAACTTCTGGGAATTTTGTATTACACATGGTATCCGTAGCCACACTGCGAAGGTAGAACAACCCCGTTAACAAAACGGGATTATTAATATAGAAGGTTCTAGTGACTGGCAGAGTAAATATCAATGATCAATTAATAGTTGTACTGTACTTATACTGCTAAGATAGGAACAAGGCAATAGCTAGCTCTAAGCTAACTCTAAGCTAGAGCTTAGAGCTAGCTTATCTATATTTCTGAGATAAATCTCAAATGTTTTACTTTTTGATGAAATTTTAGGGTTTTTTTTTTTTTTTTTTAAGATTAATTTTGGGAAAATCTGGATTGTTTCCAGAAACACTCTTTGGGTTTCAGTGATGTAAGCGCTGCCAGGGCAGCCATCTTGTTTGACAAGCAACTTTTGCAACTTCTGTTTTTTTCTTGGACTTTGAATTCAGGTCAACAGGCTGAGATTTTTTCCCTTTTTAATGAGAATAAAGTCATAATATTAGTGGAACACAGATGTAGTAAAATGAGAAACAACTGAGTATCTAGAAGAACGACTCAAACTGAGCAGGTTGAATCAGTTACTTGATAACTGTTTTTTTTTTTCTCATAATTTTAAGACTTCCTTCTGGTAAAAATGCCTTTTTCTGCTAATATTATGACTGGTCACAATTAAACAAAGGAGCTTGACCTTAAAACTCTGTCATTCAATTCACACAAGGGGTGATTGAAATAAAATCTACATTTGCAAAATATTTTCTGTCATTACTAATTGTTTTAGAGAAGAAAGCAAGAAAAAAAATCAAAAATGTTTTGATCCACATCGCTAAGTTTTGACTTTTGCTTTAATTTGTTTGGAGATGATTCATTTACTCCGTCTGTTACTGGTGACTCTTATTTTTCAGATACAGTTTTACTAAAAATCTAAATGAAAGGATGACTTTTTTTTTTACATGTTGAAGATATAAGTGACATCACCAGAACTCATGAAAGCTGATTTAAAATACAGATTTTTTTAGCCAAATGAGAAATTAGCACATTAACAAACCAACTTTATTGCTTTTGTTATAAACTTCATTGAGAATTAATTTTATTGTAACAAAACCTCTTATTTAGTGTTGCACACATTTTTCCCTCTACAATTTTCATAATGTTGCTGAGGGTTTGGTTTGTGCTGCTCCATCTTCCAGCTTTGAGACGCTGTGATCGGGTTTGAACTTCAGCAGAACCGCCAGTTTATTCTCGTTCCTCCAACATGGCCTCGTTGCCCAGACCGAATCCTTTTGGGCCGAAGTTCTTGGCATAGCAAACTGAAAAGAAAAATGTATATCAATGTCTCTGTTTCATAGAATACAGTTTATACATTTTCTTTTGTATCAAAGGTTTAACTTTCCATGTTTTTTTCTTGAAAATTTTTACATTCATCTCTAAATTTTTGGTGTAAATTTACAAAAAAAATTTTTGTTTGCCTATTTACCCGTCTAATACCAGAATATTACAATGTTCAATGATTTCACTGACCTCCGACCCAGAATCGCTCAGCGTTCTGGGAGATGTAGGCAAAGGAAAGACATTAGCCGCTCAATCTTTCGCAGCTAGTTCAGTGAAAACTGAATAAAACAGTAACGGTTACGCAACGAGCTTGGTCACATTTCAAATATTTAAAACAATAAATAAATCAATAATTATTGATATCGACTGATATGAAACGCTTATATCGTAATAATATTTTCAGCCATGTTTGTGTTCACCCAAATGCAGTTGGGTTAGTAGTAGAATAAAGCTTTATTTGACTTTCCACCAACATGGGACTGGATATAAATCAGTCTTAAAGGGAGAATCATATTTCTCCAAAGAGTGTGTAGAGTTTTAGACTCTTTGTAAATAAATGGCTTCACCTTTACAGTACAGCTCTCCGTCCTTATCCGTCACTGTGGTCGACTCCAGGCTTTTACCACACAGAGCGCAGCGGAAACAGGTTTTATGCCAGGCCTGGAAACACAATATAAATGTTTATTATTTTGGAAAAAATAAATATTAGCTTGATATAGGCCTGTCACGATAACAGATTTTGCTGAGCGATTAATTGTCTCAAAAATTATTGAGATAAATAATATTGTTTGGAGACCTTTTTACACTGATTTAACGGAAATTACATAATAATACATGTGATTTCCTGCCAAAGATAGATACACTTTATTTTAAAAAAAACACTTAATGCTGGAACTGAAAAACAAAAACAAAATGGATTCTCAGTCTCCATTTACAAAAATTACTTGAATAAAAACTATATATATATATGGTAAATGGACTGAACTTATATAGCGCTTTTCCAGTCATTTTGACCACTCAAAGCGCTTTACACTAGAGTCACATTCACCCATTCACACACCGATATGCAGACCGGTAGGCGATTTTGGGTTAAGTGCCAGAGGCACTTCGACATATGGCAGGAGAAAGCTGGAATCGAACCTACAACCTTCCGATTGCAAGACGGCAACTCTGCCACACAACCACAGTCGCCCACTTTCAACTACTTAATTATAAAACCCTAGAAGAAATTATAAATCAATTAAGTTCAAGCTCCTGCTGTCTGGATGTCCTACCCACACATTTCTTTAACAAAGTCCTGCCTGTTATTGCTGCTGATCTGATCCAAATCGTAAACTCATCGCTTACATCAGGTGTTTTCCCCAGGCTTTGAAAACAGCAGTCATCAAACCACCGTTAAAAAAGAACAACCTGGACAAATCACTATTGCAGAATTACAGGCCAATCTCAAACCTCACATTCATCAGCAAAGTTATTGAAAAAACTGTGTGTAAACAATTAAATAGTTTCCTCATGATGACCAACTGCTTTGACACTTTCCAGTCTGGTTTTCGTGCTCACCACAGCACGGAGACTGCCCTCGTAAAAGTATTCAATGATATCCATATAAATATGGACTGTGGGAGAACCACGGTGCTGGTTCTGTTGGACCTCAGTGCAGCTTCTGACACTGTGGACCATGACATATTACTGAATCGACTGGAGAGTTGGGTTGGACTCTCCGGTTCGGTCCTCGACTGGTTTGAATCTTACATAAAGAACAGGATTTCTTTGTTTCAATTGAAAACTTCTTATCAAAGAGGTCAAAGGTCACATGTGGGGTACCCCAAGGTTCAATCTTAGGACCCCTCTTATTTAATATTTATATTCTCCCACTAGCTCAGGTCATAACAGGAAATAATATTAGCTACCACAACTATGCGGATGACACACAGCTCTACATTACGATGTCACCAGGTGACTCTGAACCCATCCAATCACTGAATAAATGCTTAGAACAGATAAATGTGTGGATGTGCCAAAACTTTCTCCAACTGAACAAAAATAAAACTGAAGTCATTATTTTTGGACCTAAAGAGGAACGATCTAGAGTCAATGCACAGCTTCAGTTATTACAACTAAAACCTAGCGATCAGGCCCGAAACCTGGGAGTAGTGATGGACTCGGACTTGAACCTCCAGAGCCACATAAAGACAGTAACAAAATCGGCCTTCTATCACCTGAAGAACATCTCCAGGATTAGAGGACTAATGTCTCAGCCAGATCTAGAGAAACTCATTCATGCGTTTGTCTTTAGTCACATTGATTATTGTAACAGCGTCTTCACAGGCCTGTCCAACAAATCAATCAGACAGCTGCAACTGATCCAGAATGCTGCTGCTCGCGTTCTCACTAAAACCAGGAAGATAGAGCACATAACACCAGTTTTAAAGTCCCTCCACTGGCTCCCTGTAGCTCAAAGAATAGATTTTAAAATACTGTTGTTAGTTTATAAATCACTGAACGGTTTAGCACCACAATACATCAAAGATCTGCTGTTGTTGTATCAACCTTCCAGACCTCCCAGGTCTTCTGGTTCTGGTCTGCTCTGCATCCCCAGAACCAGAACCAAGAGAGGAGAAGCAGCTTTCAGCATCTATGCACCAAATCTTTGGAACAAACTTCCAGACAACTGTAAAACAGTGGAAACCCTGACTTCTTTTAAATCGCAACTAAAAACACACCTGTTTAGAGTTTCATTTGAAATGTAATATGTAACAATGTATTGTCTATTATATGTTGCATGACTTTGTGTTCTTGTGTTTATGTTGTAAAGCACTTTGAAATGCCTTGCTGAAATGTGCTATACAAATAAAATTTGATTGATTGATTGATTCTCCGCTTCCTATTGGACGAACGCGTACCACGTGGTTACATGTTATCCCGGATATTTTCCTTTAGTTGACTGATTTAGTTTAATTTCCCGCAACATACAAAGATTAAAACCGCCGGATCTTCATGAAATAAACACGCCACGGTCCACGCTTCGTTTGCAGGTTTAAAATAATGTTAAAGTTTGTGAACCGTGAGTCAAGCTTAGTGTCCCCGGAAAGGCTTCGCGTCCTCCCCGGCTCTTAGGCATCGCTTCTCGGCCTTTTGGCTCAGATCAAGTGTAGTTTCTGTTCTTATCAGTTTAATATCTGATAGTCCCCTATATGAGGACGTTGTATTAAATTGATTTTTGGGACAGGGAGATGGACTAGGGGCTTGCTCTGTCCTCTCCAAGCATCAACCTGGTATTGCAGTATATCCGGGGATGGTGCACTTACTCCGTTCTGTTATATGGTAATATTGAAACTCTGCTGGACTGGAGGTGACAAGCTGAGCTTTGAGTATAGTTTAACCAGCTGAAAGGATATATAGACACCCTGCAAGTTGTTAACTTCTGGGAATTTTGTATTACACATGGTATCCGTAGCCACACTGCGAAGGTAGAACAACCCCGTTAACAAAACGGGATTATTAATATAGAAGGTTCTAGTGACTGGCAGAGTAAATATCAATGATCAATTAATAGTTGTACTGTACTTATACTGCTAAGATAGGAACAAGGCAATAGCTAGCTCTAAGCTAACTCTAAGCTAGAGCTTAGAGCTAGCTTATCTATATTTCTGAGATAAATCTCAAATGTTTTACTTTTTGATGAAATTTTAGGGTTTTTTTTTTTTTTTTTTAAGATTAATTTTGGGAAAATCTGGATTGTTTCCAGAAACACTCTTTGGGTTTCAGTGATGTAAGCGCTGCCAGGGCAGCCATCTTGTTTGACAAGCAACTTTTGCAACTTCTGTTTTTTTCTTGGACTTTGAATTCAGGTCAACAGGCTGAGATTTTTTCCCTTTTTAATGAGAATAAAGTCATAATATTAGTGGAACACAGATGTAGTAAAATGAGAAACAACTGAGTATCTAGAAGAACGACTCAAACTGAGCAGGTTGAATCAGTTACTTGATAACTGTTTTTTTTTTTCTCATAATTTTAAGACTTCCTTCTGGTAAAAATGCCTTTTTCTGCTAATATTATGACTGGTCACAATTAAACAAAGGAGCTTGACCTTAAAACTCTGTCATTCAATTCACACAAGGGGTGATTGAAATAAAATCTACATTTGCAAAATATTTTCTGTCATTACTAATTGTTTTAGAGAAGAAAGCAAGAAAAAAAAATCAAAAATGTTTTGATCCACATCGCTAAGTTTTGACTTTTGCTTTAATTTGTTTGGAGATGATTCATTTACTCCGTCTGTTACTGGTGACTCTTATTTTTCAGATACAGTTTTACTAAAAATCTAAATGAAAGGATGACTTTTTTTTTTACATGTTGAAGATATAAGTGACATCACCAGAACTCATGAAAGCTGATTTAAAATACAGATTTTTTTAGCCAAATGAGAAATTAGCACATTAACAAACCAACTTTATTGCTTTTGTTATAAACTTCATTGAGAATTAATTTTATTGTAACAAAACCTCTTATTTAGTGTTGCACACATTTTTCCCTCTACAATTTTCATAATGTTGCTGAGGGTTTGGTTTGTGCTGCTCCATCTTCCAGCTTTGAGACGCTGTGATCGGGTTTGAACTTCAGCAGAACCGCCAGTTTATTCTCGTTCCTCCAACATGGCCTCGTTGCCCAGACCGAATCCTTTTGGGCCGAAGTTCTTGGCATAGCAAACTGAAAAGAAAAATGTATATCAATGTCTCTGTTTCATAGAATACAGTTTATACATTTTCTTTTGTATCAAAGGTTTAACTTTCCATGTTTTTTTCTTGAAAATTTTTACATTCATCTCTAAATTTTTGGTGTAAATTTACAAAAAAAAAATTTTGTTTGCCTATTTACCCGTCTAATACCAGAATATTACAATGTTCAATGATTTCACTGACCTCCGACCCAGAATCGCTCAGCGTTCTGGGAGATGTAGGCAAAGGAAAGACATTAGCCGCTCAATCTTTCGCAGCTAGTTCAGTGAAAACTGAATAAAACAGTAACGGTTACACAACGAGCTTGGTCACATTTCAAATATTTAAAACAATAAATAAATCAATAATTATTGATATCGACTGATATGAAACGCTTATATCGTAATAATATTTTCAGCCATGTTTGTGTTCACCAAATGCAGTTGGGTTAGTAGTAGAGTAAAGCTTTATTTGACTTTCCACCAACATGGGACTGGATATAAATCAGTCTTAAAGGGAGAATCATATTTCTCCAAAGAGTGTGTAGAGTTTTAGACTCTTTGTAAATAAATGGCTTCACCTTTACAGTACAGCTCTCCGTCCTTATCCGTCACTGTGGTCGACTCCAGGCTTTTACCACACAGAGCGCAGCGGAAACAGGTTTTATGCCAGGCCTGGAAACACAATATAAATGTTTATTATTTTGGAAAAAATAAATATTAGCTTGATATAGGCCTGTCACGATAACAGATTTTGCTGAGCGATTAATTGTCTCAAAATTATTGAGATAAATAATATTGTTTGGAGACCTTTTTACACTGATTTAACGGAAATTACATAATAATACATGTGATTTCCTGCCAAAGATAGATACACTTTATTTTAAAAAAAACACTTAATGCTGGAACTGAAAAACAAAAACAAAATGGATTCTCAGTCTCCATTTACAAAAATTACTTGAATAAAAACTATATATATATGGTAAATGGACTGAACTTATATAGCGCTTTTCCAGTCATTTTGACCACTCAAAGCGCTTTACACTAGAGTCACATTCACCCATTCACACACCGATATGCAGACCGGTAGGCGATTTTGGGTTAAGTGCCAGAGGCACTTCGACATATGGCAGGAGAAAGCTGGAATCGAACCTACAACCTTCCGATTGCAAGACGGCAACTCTGCCACACAACCACAGTCGCCCACTTTCACTACTTAATTATAAAACCCTAGAAGAAATTATAAATCAATTAAGTTCAAGCTCCTGCTGTCTGGATGTCCTACCCACACATTTCTTTAACAAAGTCCTGCCTGTTATTGCTGCTGATCTGATCCAAATCGTAAACTCATCGCTTACATCAGGTGTTTTCCCCCAGGCTTTGAAAACAGCAGTCATCAAACCACCGTTAAAAAAGAACAACCTGGACAAATCACTATTGCAGAATTACAGGCCAATCTCAAACCTCACATTCATCAGCAAAGTTATTGAAAAAACTGTGTGTAAACAATTAAATAGTTTCCTCATGATGACCAACTGCTTTGACACTTTCCAGTCTGGTTTTCGTGCTCACCACAGCACGGAGACTGCCCTCGTAAAAGTATTCAATGATATCCATATAAATATGGACTGTGGGAGAACCACGGTGCTGGTTCTGTTGGACCTCAGTGCAGCTTCTGACACTGTGGACCATGACATATTACTGAATCGACTGGAGAGTTGGGTTGGACTCTCCGGTTCGGTCCTCGACTGGTTTGAATCTTACATAAAGAACAGGGATTTCTTTGTTTCAATTGAAAACTTCTTATCAAAGAGGTCAAAGGTCACATATGGGGTACCCCAAGGTTCAATCTTAGGACCCCTCTTATTTAATATTTATATTCTCCCACTAGCTCAGGTCATAACAGGAAATAATATTAGCTACCACAACTATGCGGATGACACACAGCTCTACATTACGATGTCACCAGGTGACTCTGAACCCATCCAATCACTGAATAAATGCTTAGAACAGATAAATGTGTGGATGTGCCAAAACTTTCTCCAACTGAACAAAAATAAAACTGAAGTCATTATTTTTGGACCTAAAGAGGAACGATCTAGAGTCAATGCACAGCTTCAGTTATTACAACTAAAACCTAGCGATCAGGCCCGAAACCTGGGAGTAGTGATGGACTCGGACTTGAACCTCCAGAGCCACATAAAGACAGTAACAAAATCGGCCTTCTATCACCTGAAGAACATCTCCAGGATTAGAGGACTAATGTCTCAGCCAGATCTAGAGAAACTCATTCATGCGTTTGTCTTTAGTCACATTGATTATTGTAACAGCGTCTTCACAGGCCTGTCCAACAAATCAATCAGACAGCTGCAACTGATCCAGAATGCTGCTGCTCGCGTTCTCACTAAAACCAGGAAGATAGAGCACATAACACCAGTTTTAAAGTCCCTCCACTGGCTCCCTGTAGCTCAAAGAATAGATTTTAAAATACTGTTGTTAGTTTATAAATCACTGAACGGTTTAGCATCACAATACATTAAAGATCTGCTGTTGTTGTATCAACCTTCCAGACCTCCCAGGTCTTTTGGTTCTGGTTCTGCTCTGCATTACCAGAACCAGAACCAAGAGAGGAGAAGCAGCTTTCAGCATCTATGCACCAAAAATTTGGAACAAACTTCCAGAAAACTATAAAACAGCGGAAACCCTGACTTCTTTTAAATCGCAACTAAAAACACACCTGTTTAGAGTTTCATTTGAAATGTAATATGTAACAATGTATTGTCTATTATATGTTGCATGACTTTGTGTTCTTGTGTTTATGATGTAAAGCACTTTGAAATGCCTTGCTGAAATGTGCTATACAAATAAAATTTGATTGATTGATTGATTCTCCGCTTCCTATTGGACGAACGCGTACCACGTGGTTACATGTTATCCCGGATATTTTCCTTTAGTTGACTGATTTAGTTTAATTTCCCGCAACATACAAAGATTAAAACCGCCGGATCTTCATGAAATAAACACGCCACGGTCCACGCTTCGTTTGCAGGTTTAAAATAATGTTAAAGTTTGTGAACCGTGAGTCAAGCTTAGTGTCCCCGGAAAGGCTTCGCGTCCTCCCCGGCCCTTTAGCATCGCTTCTCGGCCTTTTGGCTCAGATCAAGTGTAGTTTCTGTTCTTATCAGTTTAATATCTGATAGTCCCCTATATGGGGACATCGTATTAAATTGATTTTTGGGACAGGGAGATGGACTAGGGGCTTGCTCTGTCCTCTCCAAGCATCAACCTGGTATTGCAGTATATCCGGGGATGGTGCACTTACTCCGTTCTGTTATATGGTAATATTGAAATTCTGCTGGACTGGAGGTGACAAGCTGAGCTTTGAGTATAGTTTAACCAGCTGAAAGGGTATATAGACACCCTGCAAGTTGTTAACTTCTGGGAATTTTGTATAACACATGGTATCCGTAGCCACACTGCGAAGGTAGAACAACCCCGTTAACAAAACGGGATTATTAATATAGAAGGTTCTAGTGACTGGCAGAGTAAATATCAATGATCAATTAATAGTTGTACTGTACTTATACTGCTAAGATAGGAACAAGGCAATAGCTAGCTCTAAGCTAGCTCTAAGCTAACTCTAAGCTAGAGCTTAGAGCTAGCTTATCTATATTTCTGAGATAAATCTCAAATGTTTTACTTTTTGATGAAATTTTAGGGTTTTTTTTTTTTTTTTTTTTTTAAGATTAATTTTGGGAAAATCTGGATTGTTTCCAGAAACACTCTTTGGTTTCAGTGATGTAAGCGCTGCCAGGGCAGCCATCTTGTTTGACAAGCAACTTTTGCAACTTCTGTTTTTTTCTTGGACTTTGAATTCAGGTCAACAGGCTGAGATTTTTTCCCTTTTTAATGAGAATAAAGTCATAATATTAGTGGAACACAGATGTAGTAAAATGAGAAACAACTGAGTATCTAGAAGAACGACTCAAACTGAGCAGGTTGAATCAGTTACTTGATAACTGTTTTTTTTTTCTCATAATTTTAAGACTTCCTTCTGGTAAAAATGCCTTTTTCTGCTAATATTATGACTGGTCACAATTAAACAAAGGAGCTTGACCTTAAAACTCTGTCATTCAATTCACACAAGGGGTGATTGAAATAAAATCTACATTTGCAAAATATTTTCTGTCATTACTAATTGTTTTAGAGAAGAAAGCAAGAAAAAAAATCAAAAATGTTTTGATCCACATCGCTAAGTTTTGACTTTTGCTTTAATTTGTTTGGAGATGATTCATTTACTCCGTCTGTTACTGGTGACTCTTATTTTTCAGATACAGTTTTACTAAAAATCTAAATGAAAGGATGACTTTTTTTTTTACATGTTGAAGATATAAGTGACATCACCAGAACTCATGAAAGCTGATTTAAAATACAGATTTTTTTAGCCAAATGAAAATTAGCACATTAACAAACCAACTTTATTGCTTTTGTTATAAACTTCATTGAGAATTAATTTTATTGTAACAAAACCTCTTATTTAGTGTTGCACACATTTTTCCCTCTACAATTTTCATAATGTTGCTGAGGGTTTGGTTTGTGCTGCTCCATCTTCCAGCTTTGAGACGCTGTGATCGGGTTTGAACTTCAGCAGAACCGCCAGTTTATTCTCGTTCCTCCAACATGGCCTCGTTGCCCAGACCGAATCCTTTTGGGCCGAAGTTTCTTGGCATAGCAAACTGAAAAGAAAAATGTATATCAATGTCTCTGTTTCATAGAATACAGTTTATACATTTTCTTTTGTATCAAAGGTTTAACTTTCCATGTTTTTTTCTTGAAAATTTTTACATTCATCTCTAAATTTTTGGTGTAAATTTACAAAAAAAAAAATTTGTTTGCCTATTTACCGTCTAATACCAGAATATTACAATGTTCAATGATTTCACTGACCTCTGACCCAGAATCGCTCAGCGTTCTGGGAGATGTAGGCAAAGGAAAGACATTAGCCGCTCAATCTTTCGCAGCTAGTTCAGTGAAAACTGAATAAAACAGTAACGGTTACACAACGAGCTTGGTCACATTTCAAATATTTAAAACAATAAATAAATCAATAATTATTGATATCGACTGATATGAAACGCTTATATCGTAATAATATTTTTCAGCCATGTTTGTGTTCACACAAATGCAGTTGGGTTAGTAGTAGAGTAAAGCTTTATTTGACTTTCCACCAACATGGGACTGGATATAAATCAGTCTTAAAGGGAGAATCATATTTCTCCAAAGAGTGTGTAGAGTTTTAGACTCTTTGTAAATAAATGGCTTCACCTTTACAGTACAGCTCTCCGTCCTTATCCGTCACTGTGGTCGACTCCAGGCTTTTACCACACAGAGCGCAGCGGAACAGGTTTTATGCCAGGCCTGGAAACACAATATAAATGTTTATTATTTTGGAAAAAATAAATATTAGCTTGATATAGGCCTGTCACGATAACAGATTTTGCTGAGCGATTAATTGTCTCAAAAATTATTGAGATAAATAATTTGTTTGGAGACCTTTTTACACTGATTTAACGGAAATTACATAATAATACATGTATTTCCTGCCAAAGATAGATACACTTTATTTTAAAAAACACTTAATGCTGGAACTGAAAAACAAAAACAAAATGGATTCTCAGTCTCCATTTACA